CCGCTCAGAGGTGTGTAAACCTCAGCTTCCTGATCTGGATGAAGGAGAGAATGATCCCCGCCTTGGCCAGCACACAGGTCAAGCAGCTAGTGCTTGGCACACAGTAAATGTAAATGATGGTCCCAGCACATCAGGGGACATTTTCCCATCCCTTGTTTCTCCTTGGTGCCCCAGGGTGTCACAGTCACCACAGCACATGAAGTGGAGAATGCCTGGAAGAACAGTAGGGGTGAAGCGAATTGTGCTTGCCTCCTGGAGACTCCTGGAGGCCTGGGTCAGCATGCACTGCTTGCTGCGCTTATGTCACTGCCCAGCCCTGCTCCCCCAGCCTAGCTCAGGGCCCTGGAATGCTCCTTTGGGACTTCCCTCCTCCCCAGCCCCGGCTCCAGCTACCATGGTAACACGTTCCAGGGTGACAAAGGAAGTTGCTCAGTCTTGTTTCCTTCTGGTCCTGTCAAGGAGGATTTTCAGACCTCACGGACTGCACTGCTCTGCACCTACCTGGCCATCTTCTGTGTTCTCACTCAGGTTGAGCTCAAATTTCCAGCCCTGCCAGCAGGACCATGTGTACCAGCCTGACCACGTGCGAGTGGAAGAAAGTCTTCTATGAGAAGATGGAGGTGGCCAAGCCGGCCGACAGCTGGGAGCTCATCATAGACCCCAACCTCAAGCCCAATGAGCTGGCCCCCGGCTGGAAGCAGTACCTGGAGCAGCATGCCTCGGGCAGGTAAGAGGAAGGATGTGGCAGGCTGTGGAAAGCCCTGTGGCACAGCCTTGGGGGCACCTTCCAAGGGGAGGCAGAGATACGTGGAGCCCCATTCTGGGGTCAACTGAGGCTAGGGGGCAGAGAAGGAACTGCCAGGTGCATCAAACCGGCCTTGATTCTAGTCCCAGCTGTACCACTGACTCCTGGATGCCCCTGGCAAATTGTATTCTGTCTTTGGGTCTGGGTTTTCCATGGTAAATAAAGAGCTGTAATTCTTCAATGCCTCTGCAATCTCTGACATTTTAAATGTTTTCATATTTTCATAATTTGTTAAAGATTGGTAGGAACTGAGCGGAGGAGGCCATGAGGTCCACTGGGGAAAGCCTTAGCTCTGGTCCTAGGTCCGTTCAGTCAACTCAGTGCAATTAGGTTTGAATACAAAAAACACTAGTTGTCCACCTGCCATGTTCTAGAAACTGGCTCTGCAGCTAACTGTGAACCTGGGCAAGTCCTTTTCCCTGCGCGGTCTCAGTTTTCACATTTGCAAAACTAGAGAGTTGGCCTTAGGCGATCAATCAAGTCCCTTCCAGTTCTTTTACATATAGGTCTGTGACAAAAAGCTTTGGGCAGGAGTTTGGTAGGTCCTTACAGCCCAGCATCACATACATTATAGGAGCTGCATGTCTCTCATAAAGAAAAGGAGTCCTTGAGGTCAAGACATCCATCTGAAGCCCACATGCCTCTCCCTCTTCTAGAGCATGGCTTGGGGTTGGGGCCTCAGAATTCGCTGCCCAAGCTGCCTTAAGCTCATCTCCAGGATCTGTATGGGCCTCTTCCCTGCGTCCACTGAATCAAGGACAGACAGTAGCCCTAGGCCCCTGGGTGGGGTGGGGGGGGCAACAGGGGGTTGTGTCCTGGGGGTGTGGACACACAGACTGGGCTGTTCACACATGCTTGCATGCTAAACTCCTTGTGCTGGCAGTGGGAACAGAAGGAGGCAGGCCGTGGGTGAGGAGCTTACACCTGTACTCCTGCCCCAAGAACTGCAAATATTAGAGTGAACTTGCCTTTGGGACAAAAGTCAGAGAGGCAGAGGTTGGTTGGTTCATTTCAATTCAAATCCATTCAAGAGACATCTTTTGGGCACCTGTTACAGGCTGGGTCTCGGCTCTGTCTCTGACTATCTGTGTGTACAGAGGGCTCTCTTTCTCTCAGTGAAATAAAAGTTTGACTAGATGATCCTAAGGTCCCCTCCTACTACGTCTGATGCTTTGAGATTTAAGATCTGAGGTGTGGCTTGAGGGAGGGGAAACACCTCTGGATTGGCTTGATTTTAAAAGGTGCAGAAGGAGGGAACTGAAGACGTGAAGCTCCGGGCTGGCTGGTGGGAGGGGTGCAAAGGGCTGGAAACTCAGGTGCAGGGGTCCAGGGGTTTGGGGCTGAGCTCCGTAGGCTCGTGGCTCCTCTTGCCTCAGGGATCAGCTGGCCGTATTCCTGGCTGGTGACCTGTGGCTCCCAGCTGGCCTTGGGCAGGGCTGGAGTGGCATCACCCTTGTGCATATTCTGTGCAGAGGCTCACCCTACCTGTAAGCATTGTAACCCTGGTGCCCTGCAGCTCTGGCCTAGCACAGGGAGGCAGGATGGAGAGGGACACTCCCCTTCTGGCTCAGGACCAATCAGTATGCTCTGGCCTGCCAATCCTGCCTTGGGCTGCACTGGATACTGTGCTGCACTTATGTTGTCTGTGGGCCCCAGGGCTCAGGGCCAGGCTTGGCTTCATCTCCACCCCGCTGCACTGCGTGGTGCTTGGCATACAGTAGGTGCTGGGTGGTGTCTGTTGGACTGAACTGAGTTCCTCAACAGAGGTCCTTCAGGGCCATCAACAGGGATCCCGTAGAGGGTCAGCAGTGAGGGCAGACTCAACCCAGTGGACCCTGGGCTGCCTGTAAAGCCTTGGTAACAGGGGCCTGGAAGAGCTTTATCTCGGGGCTGGAAGGAACTGCCACTGGACGTAATGAGTTCTCTGCCACTGAAGGGCTGCCAGCACTAGGCGGGGGCTGAGATGAAGCCTAGGCCATATGCGTCCCAGGCCACTTCCCTCCATGTTTCCTGAGGCTGGAACTCGAAGGGGCCCAGGTTAGACAAAGTGGCCTGTGTGTACGTAAATGTACACGTGTGTATGTGTGTGGAGGGGGATGCAGACCAGGATACACCTTTCCAGTCTCTTCTGGGGGCCTGCAGTGGGATCTAGGGATGATTTGTCAAGGGACAGGAGAGTGTTCTTTGTGAAGGTGCAGGGACCAAACTCTGTAGTCCTCCCCCTGCTGATGCGCCACCTATCCACCTGTCCATCCGGTGGATTCTTGGTGATCTGTGCTTGGGACAGCTGGAGGCATCTCTTTGCCCCAAAACAGACAGGATGCATGAGTGAGATGTGTGGTCTTCCCCCTTATCAGAGTCATGGGAGGTCTGAGCAGAAGGATGCTTACTGGACACAATTATCCTGCATTTCACAGATGAGAAATAAGGCCCAGACTCGGGGGAGTGACCCTGTGCAGCATCCAGACCCATGTCCTGAGTGCATTAGGCTTGGGGGGACCAAGGCCACGGGAGGGCCCGCAGGAGGCAGGCTGGAGAGCGCTGCTGGAAGCCAGATGGCTCCAGCATCTGGCTCCTGAGGATGCTGCTCCAGGCCGAGGGCAGCTCACCAGGAGGAGGCTGAGACGCCGGCTCAGGAACTAATGTACCCCTGGCGCGGTAAACACTCCGCCTCAACTTCCAGGTATAGGCACGCAGGGCTCCTCCTTTCCAGGCTCCTCCAGGCCGGCTGTGGCTGGGAGGGAGGCCCACCTTCTCCATCCCTGCCTCCCTGCCCCGCAGGTTCCACGGCTCCTGGTGCTGGCACACCTGGCAGTCGCCCCACGTGGTCATCCTCTTCCACATGGACCTGGACGGCGCCCAGCGGGCGGGCTCGGTGCGCATGCGCGTCTTCAAGCAGCTGTGCTGCGAGCGCGGCGGCGCGGCTGGACGCGTCGAGCCTGCTGGAGGACACCGAGAGCCTGGTGGGCAACCTCATCACCAGCCTGCGCGAGCAGTGCTACGCGGAGAGCGGCGGCCGGTGCCGCATCCACGTGGCCAGCCGCCAAGACAGCCGGCGGCACCGCGGAGAGTCCTGCGAGGCCTGCCAGGAGGGCACCGTGCACTGGAAGCCCAGCGAGAAGCTGCTGGAGGAGGACGCGACCTTCTCCGGTGCCTCCAAGCCACGGGCCCAGGAGGCATCGGGCTACAACTTCTCCCTTCGCTGGGGCCTCTTCTGGGCCTCACTGTGCCTCTGCTCATTGTCTACCTGCAGCTCTCCTTCCGAAGCTCGACCTTCCTGTAGTGGAGCTGGTTGAGGGTGGGAGGACGGTGCATGGGGGTGAGAGTGGGGATGCGGTTGTGGTCCTGATTCCGCTACAGATTCAATATATAACGCTGGACAGCCCAGTTACCTCTTTGGACCTCAGTTTATTACTCTGCAGAATGTGAGTTGCTCTAGGAGATATTTAATGATCCTTCCATTAAAATTTACAGTGATGGGGGCACGGGGAGAAGGGACTAAGGTGGATTTAGAACTCTCCAGGCCTGGTGTTAGTAGTTGTCTCACAGGGAGGTATCTCTTCCCTGCACCTCCTCCACCTCCATCTCTACACCTCCTTTTGCTTCATTTCCGTATCCCATACCCCATTAGGACCCCATTAGGACCCATCTTGTCCCTGCCTGATTCTCAAGCTCATCTTCAGCTGCTTCTGAGCATCCTACCATGGTTCCCCTTGGGGCGGGCAGTGGCCCACGCAAAGCAGCTTCAATCAATACTCAGTGCGTCTTGACCCGTCCCTTTCCTTGAGAGCCAGCTCCCACCATTCTGAAAACCTTCATTTTTTACTCTGGTGTTAGAATCTGTTTGTCTGGAATTATTTAGAGCTGCACTGTCCAATATGTTAGCCATTAGCCATGTGTGGCTAAATTTAAATTAATTAAAATAAAATGAAAAATTCAGTTCCTCAATGGCACCAGCCATATATCAAGTATATATCAAGCCATATATCTAGTAGTGGCTACTGGTAACCATATTGTACTGTGCAGATATAGAACATATTCACAGAAATTTCTATTGAATAGCAGTGGTCTAGAACTTGAAATTCCCACTTCACTGTATTTTGTCTCATAAAATAAGAGGTGGGTACAGGTTTAAAGGCACAGCCTGAAGCCTTCTGGGGGCAGGGACAGGTGGGGTGGGGTATAGATACACAAATAAATACGTAACCTCTGTGCTGTGTCAGTTGATTAGAATCTATGAGTCCCAGTGTTGCCTAAATTTATTTCCTGGGAAGGAGGAGCTGTAGAAATTCACCACAAGAGGATGGCTGTGTGTGTGTGTGTGTGTGTGTGTGTGTGTGCGCGCGCGCGCGCGTCTTGGTTTGGGGCCTGGAGAATATATTCCTGTGCTCTGCAGAAATGTGTGAGCTGTGGCACTACTACTTACCCATGATGCAGTGTCAGGTGTGATATTTTGCCCTCCTACGTGAAAATACCTTGTAGAAGATTCTATAGCTGTCCTAGATCCCGGGGATGCTGAGGGAAAGGGCGGATGAGGCAGATCTGGGATCCTCCAGGTGACAGTGGGGCTGTGTGTCTCCATTCAGGGGGCGCCATGATCAAGCACAAGCATGAGCAGTGGAGACAGCGCCTGTCTCCCAGCCCCTCCCCCTTGCCCAGTCCACGAGACTCTGCCCCATGAGGGGGAACGTACTTGCTGTGCCTGTTCCCTCAGGCACAGCTGTGACTTGGGCAATTTGATTCATGGACTGACATCAGATGACCCTGTGCTTATTGTTGTCTGGAATAGGAAAAGAAACTGTCCCATTCACACCCCTACTTGTTCTCTGATGTTCACACCTTTCTTTAGCTCATCTTTAGAGTTTCTGCCCCAAGTGAGACCTGAAGACTGAAGACGAAGTTCAAGGTGGTGCGTTTGTCTGGTGGTGTGTTTGCCTGGATGTGTTTCCAGAGACGGACTGCTTTGGACACTGTGTCCCACCTGTCCGCTTATGTGCAGGCTGGCTTTACTGTTCTCTGGCTTTGGCAGGGAGCTTCTGGTGACTTGTCCGGATTCCTCTAGGGACTGAGAGCTAGGCAATCTGGAAGAATCTACCTTTCTTCAACTGGGTGCAGTAGAGGCGCAGGAAGAGCATCAGGCTGGTGTGTTTGTGAACCAGTGGGCACGTGGGGTTGTGTTCACCTCCGCCAGCTACAGAGGATGCTCAGCTGGGCCTGTGTAGAGCGTGTGCCTCACAGGGTGTTGTTCAACTGCAGACATATGGTGGCTCCTGGGAAGAGGAATGTCAGCAGACCAGGTATCATGAGGTTTCCAGAGGTCTCCAACTGCTCCCAGCTTGATGAAGCGGCACCAGCAGCGCCTCTTACTGAAATGGTGGGGTATAAGGTTAGGGGTAGACTGCTCAGATTGTGTCAGGGGGAGAGTCAGGCCTCAGGTGGGTCAGCAAAGGTGAGGCCTCTGCGGTGGGCCTGGGGGTTGAGGGATGAAGAGCCACTGGAAATAGAACGAAGGTGAGGGGGGTAGAGTAGGTGAAATGAGACGAGATCTGAGAAAAATTCCGGAAGATGAACATCTCCTTCTTTTCAGTATATAAATATACCTGTGTCTTCCTCCTTTTTAACTCCAACGACCCCCTCACTGCCTTCACTTCCCTTTTGACTATTGCCAGGTATTTTTTAATTCCTTCAAAGCCCAGTTTCTCAAAGAGTAGATTATATTTATCTCTACTTCTTATTTACTCCTTAGTTCGTGGAAGTCTCATTTCCATGTCCCTGAAACTGTCACCCCGCCCCCCCTCCCCATTGCCAAATCATCTCTATCTCACCTGGTCTCGCTGCTGCCTTTTGCACTCCCTCCTTGAAGGTTCCGGGTCAAGGAGGGAGCACGCCCTCTTCGGTCTCCCACTTCTGTTTCCTCTCTGCTGTGATGATATTCATTCTCTCAGCATCCCTTACATGCTGGTGTTCCCTGAGATTCTCTCCCCTTGCTGGTTTGCTCTCTGTTACATACACCCGCCATGACTTAGGTTTCTACTGCATATGAACTCCCGGTCCTTATAGCTCCTCTAAGTATTTCTACTGAACTCCAGACCCACAGACCAATTGACCTGTCCGCTGGGAGATCCCTCAGCATGACCAAAGCTGATCTCATCATTTTGCCATCGTGTTTGCTGCTCTTACTTCAGAAATCTGGGAGGTATCTCCTGACCTCTCTCACCACCCTACCCTATCCCGCACGAATCGGTCACCATGCCCTGTTGAATGCTCTTCCCAAATACCTCTGAGGTTGATCTTCTTTCTTTCCTTCCCATTTACTGCTGCCCAAACTCATCATTTGTGTCCCTTGCCTCTGCAGCCTCCTTCATTATTGTCATGCCTGTAGCCTCCCCTGCTACAGCTCACCCTCCGCACTACCACTATCCTGGGGTGATTTTCTAATAATCGGATATGATCGGCTTTCTCCCCTGTTTGTGCTCTTTCCTGCTAATGGATAAAACATTCTCATCAGCCGGGCACACCTCATTTCCAGATACTAACAATACATACCATTTATTGAGAAGGACTCAAGAAACACTTTGCCAGAGGGCAGAGGCACCCACTAACATCTGGATGACAGCTGGACTTCAGGCCAGCATCTGAAGACAGGGGGAGAAACTGGACTTCTAGAAACCTGGAAACAGAAATGTCTGAAAGGTGTGCAAAAATTGTCTGCCAGGATGGCTGACAAGAGGCTGAGGAGAGAACTTTTGCCCATACTTGGTGTGAGATTAACCCTGTGGGCATGGACGTTTGTCGCTGTGATGTGGAGTGAATATTTGTTCCTCGTCTCTCATGAGGCCTATGTGACCTGTCAAGAGAGGCCCTTTCTTACTATTCTTATTCTTTTGCTTCTGTGTATATCCTGTAACTGCATCTGTGTTATAGGTATTACAAGCAGGTGGTGCCCTATAACCCTTGTGTGTGTCTTTGTGCTGATTTTATACCACTGAGTAAGCGTATATGGCTTGTGCTGATTGCTGGTTGGCAGTTGCTTGCAGAGTACCTGATGAAGTGGACAGTGACGCATGGAAAGGAATTTGTGCTGAGACTCAGGATATCTGGGCACCAGTCCAACAATACAGTGGAGTGAGCCAATATAAATCCATTACCAATTCAGGAATAACTGCATGGAGGATATCCTATGGTTATACAGCTGTTATCCTTCCATTTTCATCCAAAAGTCAACATCTATCTACTCTGGTCTATTTTATTCCTGGTCTGTCCTAAGTTCTAGGATTACAAAGATAATTTGTAGTCCCTGACTTGGAGGGCTCACAAGGTATGCTAGTCAATGCTAGGAAAGGGAACAACTTTGTCATACCTGGGGATGAAGGGTCAGAGATGGTTTCTTAGACCAGTCATGCAGGGGTATGTTTTGTAGAAATGGTCAGGGGGTCAAGGATGGGGCTGATAGGGAGCCATGGGCATCCCAGGCTGAGAGACGAAAAAGGAAGACCCAGAGACAGAGCTTATTTCATGCTCAGGAAGAGTAAGCAACCAAGTACCAGAGGAGAGCAGGATGGAGCCCAAGAGGAATCTGGCAGCACCGGCGAAAGAGGGCAGAAAAGCGAGGTGGGCTGGAGTTAGGTAAAGACAGCTCTTTGGCTCAAGTAAGGAATGAGGAGGGAGCATGAGAGACATTTTGTTATCATTTTTAGAACTTGTCTTTAAAAGCAAAAAACCAAAACAAAATAAGGTAGTGCTGAACAGCAATCCTACCCTTGTGTCTTCTATAAACATTTAAATGCCTACATATTTTATACTAGGCACTATGTATGTATTAAAGGAAGCATTCAGTCTCCCCCTCTTTCTGATCATTCTCCATCCATCTTTCTTTCACACTCAAGGAGTTAGAACAGTCTCAGTTCTCGTCTTTAGGTATAGCAATGAATGAGCTCTTCAGGCATGCTGTGGGTAAGGAGAATTTGGGCTGCAAGTCCCCAAACTAATAACTGTGGTCAAACAACACAGAAAGATTTGTTTATTCAATGCTGAAAATCAAGTGAAAGTAGATATAATAATTAATGAAATAATAATAATTATTAGTGAATAATTAGTGAAAGTAGACAATTTGTTTCTGGTCCTAATTGTTCATGTATGCTGAATTCGGTTGAGAACAATTAGAGTACCGCCGATTTTCTGTTTTGCTTTTTTATTCCTTTTTGTTTGTTTCTACAATAAAAGTGAATTATTTTCTTATGATTTAAATATGTTTATCCACATTCATTATATACATATCGTCGT